CCGCGCCTTTGGGAGGCTGAGGTGAGTGGATTGCCTGAGCCCGCGGGTTCGAGACCCGCAAGTTTAAACTAACCTGATGTCCTACGCCTACCGGGATTGACTAAATTACCAAAGCACTTATTTTATCACCCTCTACAGTACACCCACCTCTCTGATGCTGGTGCTTGGGTGCCTGCCAAACTGCCTGCTAACATTCTTTTTTGTTGTTGTTTGCTTTTTTCCCTCTATCTTTTCTTTTCTTTTTTTTTTTTGAGTTGGAGTCTCACTTTGTCGCCCAGGTTGGAGTGCAGTGGCATGCTCATATCCACCCCAGCATCGACCTGCTGGGCTCCGGCGATCCTTCCACCTCGGCCTTCCAAGTAGCCACAATTACAGGCATGAGCTACCACGCCTGGCTAATTTTTTGATTTATTATAGAGACAAGGTCTCGCCATGTTGCCCAGGCTGGTCTTGAACCCACGGGCTGAGGTAATCCACTCTCCTCGGCTTCCCAAAGTGCTGAGATCATAGGCTGAGCCACCGAGCCCAGCCAGGAAAAAAAAAAAGCTCAGCCGTGCTTGCTACCCCTCAGAAGATTCTCGGAGCTATATAGGCCCAAACTCTTGGAAAGAAAGTTATCTAAGGACACAGTTCATCCCTTTATCTTTGTATATACAAGTGTGTGTATGCACTTGTGGGGCATATTTACATATAACCTGCACACCTCCTCCCATAGACTTTAAATCGTCTTTAGATTACTTATAATACCCAACACAATGTAAATACTATGTAAATAGTTGTTATAGCATATTGTTTCTTACTGTCATATTGTTATATTTTATTGGTTTCAAATATTTTTGATAATGGTTGGTTAAATTAGTACGTTTGGAACCCTTGGATATGGATAGCTGCTGTGTTACATTCTTCTTAGGTGTGTCTTGGTTTCTGGAGTTGTTTTCTGCTTTGGATCTTGGGGTAGTCCGCACCAAGATAACCAACATCATGTGTGTCTTTTTAAGTGTCTCATAGAGTTTTTTGGTTTTGGTATGTATGTTTGTGTTTATTGTGAGTCAAGGTCTCATTCTGTTGCTCAAGCTGGAATGCAGTGGCATGATCATGGTTCACTGCAGCCTCCACCTCGTAGACTCAAGCGATCCCCTCTCTTACACTCAAGCGATCCCCTCTCTAAGCCTTCTGAGTAGCTGGGGCTACAGGTAAGCACCACCACACCCAGCTAATTTTTGTTGTTGTTGTTGTAGAGATGAAGTCTCAACATGTTGCCCAGGCTGGTCTCTAACTCCTGGCCTCAAGTGATCCTCCCACCTCTGCCTCCCAAAGTGCTGGGATTACAGACATGAGTCACTGAGCCTGGCTGGTTTTGTTTTTTAATTGTGCTTTTTTCTCTTTGGCATTTAGAAAAGAAACTGGACTTGGCATCAGTTGACCTGTGGAAGATGAGAGTGGCAGAACTGAAACAGATCCTGCAAAGCTGGGGAGAAGAGTGCAGGGCCTGTGCAGAAAAAACCGACTATGTGAATCTGATCAAAGAACTGGCCCCCAAGTATGCAGCGATTTACCCCAGAACGGAACTCTGACCTTGATCGCCAGTACATCATGGCTTGTAGTTAGAGAAAAAGATGACTCATTAAGATATGGACGTGTTGATTAAGGATAACCTGGACTTGCAGTGTTTAGTTATTGCACTTTTCGTGTCAATATCATACCTCAGAATTTTACTTGGGTTTGTGATATTACTGATATCTTACATTTGCAGTGTACCCAAACCTAAGAGTACCTGTCTTATAATTTTCTTTCAAGGACTATGTAAGTTATTACTGCCTGCCTTCTAAAACTGGGAAAAGTGAACTACTGAAAACCTGATGAAGTCAATTGATTCCATGAGGGAAGTGGGTGCTCAGAGACGCCTCTCTGTACAGCTTTATATATATAAGAGTATATAAAACTAGGACAAAAGAAACAATGGTTAGCCGATCTAATGCACAACTTCAGTCCCAAACAATAACCTAACATAACCAAAAATTTTTTTAAGAACACATTTTCTACTTTCAACTGCAAGCCACTTTACATTTTAGTTCTCTTTGGGATTAGAAATAGCCCAGTAGGACTACTAGAAGGTAGTGTTTCCTATCTGAAGAAAATGTACTTAAACTTTAAAGAAAATAGATCAAGAATCCACGTAAGGCCTGTTGCAGTGACTCATACCTGTAATCCCTACTCTTTGAGAGGCCATGGTGGGAGGATGGCCTGAGCCCAGGAGTTCAAAACCAGCCTGGGCAACATAGTGAGAGCTTGCCTCTACAAAAAATAAAAATTAAATGAAAAAATAATAATCCACATAAGTGTAGGCAGTATTTGGCAAATTGTATCAGCACTTACATTACTAGTTGAACAAAGCTTACGTCTTTTTCATTCTTCATGGTCATATGTCAGAAAAGTTTTTCTAAATTTTTTTTTAATTTTAATTTTTGAATCGGGGTCTCACTCTGTCACTCAGTCTGGAGTGCAGTGGCATGATCACAGCTTGCCATAGCCTTGATCTTATGAGCTCAGGTGATTCTTCCGCCCCAGCCTTCTGAGCAGCTGGGACAACGGGTATGCATTACCACACCTGGCTACTTTTTTGACATTTTGTAGTGATGGGGGCTTTATACTATGTTGCCCTGGCTGGTCCTGAAATCCTGGCTGATCCAAGCTACCTTCTTGCCTTAGCCTCCCAAAATGCTGGGATTATAGGTGTGAGCCACTGGGCCAGCCTGGACAAGCTTTTGATTGAGGATTAAAGCATATTAAGAACACCTGAAGGCAACACGGGGCCTTTTGGTTCTTATTGCTATTTCATCAGCTTTAAATTGGAAAATCATTTTTGGTTTCATTTTCTGACCTCATAAGAATAAGAAATGCATGGTAGAGGTGAATGAATCTATATGATGGGTGGAGGTGGGGAATACTGAAAAACATTTTCTTGGAACTTTTTGGAGTGAGGGTAATGTCCTATATCTTGATTGGGATGATGGTACCATGGGCGAATACGAGTGTCAAACGCATCTGGTAGTAAAATCAAGATCTGAGCACTTTCTTGCATGTAAATTATACATCTAAAAGATATAATTTACATGCTGTAGAAAAATTATTTGAAAATTAACTAAAATTGATTCAAAAAAACCTTGTTCTTCAGATAATTGCATTGACTGACTGGGAATCTTTATAGGGGATGGAGAAGAAATTTTCCAGACTGAAAATATACATCGGAAGTACAATTTTCACTTTTAAATGCTGTAGAGGTAAATACACTTTCAGCTTGGCAGTTGGGAGGTAACTGAATTTTCAGAAAATTAATAATTATTAAGAAGATATATATATTTTGTAACTAAAAGAAGAGAATAAAAAGCTTTGGAATGGCTGAAGTGGTTATTGCTTTTGGATTCTGGCATCTTGATCATTATGTATAAAGCACCTCCTTTATTTGGATCATATCTTTAAAAAACCCAAAGTTCGTTTTTTGTTTGTTTTTTTAAAAAATGTCTCCTAACCTTCTTGTTTTTCTTTTTGCATTTAAACCTATCAAGAAGTGTATTGTTTGAAAATAGTATATTTGGGCTGGGCATGATGGTTCATGCTTGTAATCCCAGCACTTTGGTAGGCTGAGGCAAGAGGATTGCCTGAGCCCACAGGTTTGAGACCAGCCTGGGCAACTTGGTGAGACCTCGTCTCAAAAAATTAGCTGGGCATGGTGGCACACACCTGTAGTTCCAGCCACTTGGAAGGCTGAGGTAGAAGGATCACCTGAGCCCAGACTGCACTGTAGCCTCACCAACAGAATGAGACTCCAACTCAAAAAAATAAATAAATAAAAAGGAGACCACGACGACATGGTTACTAAATGTACTGTGGTCTCTGGGGGTGATTTTGGAACAGAAAAAGGACATTAGAGAAAAATGGAATAAACTTGAATAAAATATGTTAAAAACAAAACAAAAAAGAAAATAGTATATTTGACGGGGTGTGGTGGCTCACATCTGTAATCCCAGTACTTTGGGAGGCCAAGATGGAAGGATCACTTGAGGCCACGAGTTTGAGAACAACCTGGGCAATGTAGTGAACCTAGGAGGTGGAGGCTGCAGTGAGCTGTGATTGTGCCATATTTCTGTGTCATTTTTTCAGGATTTAAATCTAGGTCACAGTAACAATGCTCAGCAGGGCACTCAAACAATGACGTTTTGTCTGGTTTTTCAAAGAGAACTAACTGTATGTCAGTGCTTCTCAAACTGTGCATGCAAATCACCTAGAAATTTTGTACAAAAAGTAGGTTCTGTTTCAGTAGATCTAGGGTGGGGCTGAGATTCTGCCTTTGCAACGAGCTTTCCAGGTGATGTTCGTGTCACTGCTGTGCCAGGGACCACACTTTGAGTAGCAAGGGCCTAGGTCAAGGACCCTGCAATTGGTGCAGGAGGTTGATATATGTTGACTGATATATATTTTTCCTTTTGCCAGTGTCAACCTAAAAACGTAGAGAGGCTCCCTGTGAGAAAAGATGTTTATTTGGGAATAGGGCATTGCCATGGGAGTACACACAATGTAGTAAACTGTATTTCGATTCAGGGAGGTAAAGGAAGACAAAGGTTTTTAAAGGAAAAAGTGAGGATTACATCCTTGTTTTGAAATAATTATTCTTGGTTACAAAGATCAATAATGAGTGATGCCAGTCTGAGGCCTGACAGGCAGTTGCTGGGTAGATGCCCTTGCAGAAATATTTTTTTGGTGTAAGGTTATGATGGCTTGTGTGCAAGACTGTGTTTTTTGCAGTCTTTGGGATCATTTTGTGATCAGGCATACAAGCACCAGAACCCTCCCTTCATGGCCACCTCCAGCTCTAGTTGTCAGAGTTTTCCTAACTTTAGTAACTCCATTTTGATTTTGATTTTGATTTTGATGTGATAATTTTCACATTGGTCTCAATTAGTTTGGTTTTTGATAGAGTTGAATATAGCAATAACAACAACAGCAAAAAGAATAAACCCCACAAGAGTTTATTCTCATATGTAAAAGGCTAGAAGTAGCCAGTCCAGAATAAATGCAGCAGCTGAACAAAGTTATTAGGGACTCGGTTTTAATGTTTTTGTTTCCCGTCCTGGTGGTAGGTTCCACTCTTAACCCATGGTGGAAGTTGGTGCTGGAATTCCTAATCCCAGAAGGGAGAAGGCTTGAAAGGACCTGCCTCTAATCTGAGTTCACGTCTTTTTTTTTTTGAGTCGGAGTCTCACTCTGTCACCCAGACTGGAGTGCAGTGGCCGCTCCCGGCCACCGCAGCCTCGACCTGCTGGGCTCCGGCGACCCTTCCGCCTCGGCCTTCCAAGTAGCCGGAACTACAGGCGCGCACTACCACGCCCGGCTAATTTTTTGATTTATTGTAGAGATGAGGTCTCGCCAAGTTGCCCAGACGGGTCGCGAACCCGCGAGCTCAGGCAATCCACTCACCTCAGCCTCCCAAAGCACGGGATTATAGGCTGAGCCACCGAGCCCAGCTGAGTTCGCTTCTTTAAGGTGGCCTCCCTGACCTCCACCTCCATCCCATGCCCTATGTAACACTGTGTATTTGCTGTTGACCAGAACTTAATCACATGTCAAACTCGGCTGTGAAGGAGTTTGGCAAATCACATCTTTTATTTGAGTTCATTGCTGCCCAAATAAAACCAGGATTTATTTATTTATTTATTTTTACTAAGGAAGAAGGGGGAAATAGTTCGTGGCCACAAACCATCTCTTCTGCCACATAGTGTAATATTTTTCTTCCCATGAATTTTAGTTATAATTTTTGATTGTCATACTCTAAATAATTCTTCCTTCTCCTTGCTAGTTGCATCTTTTATAGATGTAGGCAGTTATGTTTTTTCCTTTTTACTTTTTTTGGTTTGACAAGAGGTAGTTGCTGTTTTTCCTTTTTCCTTTCTTTCTTTTTAAGAAAGCAGGATTTATTGAGAGGATCAAAAAGCTCCCACAGCCGGAGGGAACCCGAAGGGGTTGCCCTGTTATTGTATTTTAAATTGCATCTTCTCTCATGGTACATGTGTTTATATACTTTTTAAAATGTGTGGTTTTTGCCTAAATTCATAAGCACACAAGATTTAGAAGTCAGACATTCTGACAAAAATGACTAAACTCTGAGCTAAAAAAAAGTTCACCCAAGCTGGGCTCGGTGGCTCAGCCTATAATCCTGCGCCTTGGGGAGGCTGAGGTGAGTGGATTGCCTCAGCCCGCGGGTTCGAGACCTGCCTGGGCAACTTGGCGAGATCTCATCTCTACAATAAATAAAAAATTAGCCGGGCGTGGTAGCGCATGCCTGTAGTTCCAGCTACTTGGAAGGCTGAGACGGAAGGATCGCCGGAGCCCAGCAGGTCGAGGCTGCGTTGGCCAGGAGCGGCCACTGCACTCCAGTCTGGGTGACAGAGTGAGACTCCAACTCAAAAAAAAAAAAAAGTTCATCTAAACAGACGTTATTCCTGAGCTAGTCTAGATTTCAAAAATTCCAAGCAGAAGACCCTTTAATTTGGTTCTTATAGACAGGGAGACCAGAGATAACACTTAGAGCACGGTTTAAAAGTTGTAGTTCTTCATTTGGGTATGAATAATTGGTAATACACACTCCACCAGAAAGTTT